GAGAGAGGTGCTCCAGTGCCTTCCCCTGTCCTTCCTTGTCTGTCTTCAGCTGGGGAGGCCAGACCTGGAGGCAGTGCTGCGCATGTGGCCCCACAGGGGGAGAGCAAATGGGGGATCACCTCTCATCCTGCTGGCCACGCTCCTCCCCACGCAGCCCGGGATACCCCTGGCATCCTTGGCCCCCGAGGCACTGCTGCCTCTTGGACTCCCTGTTGTCCGCCCGGTCCTGCAGAGCTGCTCTCCAGCAGTTCAGCCCCAACCTCTGGGGTGCTGTGAGAAGCTGCCTTAGTGCAAACTGCTTATCGAAGCAGCTGAAACATCCCTGTGGGATCAACATGATTCTCATCCTAAATGCAGAACTTAGCACTGTACCCGCCTCTAGGAAGGGAATTATCCCAGCAGAAACCAGGACACCCACTGGTGACTTCAACTTACAGGAATGGTCAGGTCTAAGAAATAGAACTGGGCTGTTTCCAGAGCCTTAATTCCTCATCAGAGGGAGTTTCGAAGCTGTATTTGATGCAGTTAGATTGTGTATAAACCACATTGCTGGTTTATACAGTTAAAGCAAGTGTCTTTTACAGCACTATTCCTATGACAGCATGGCCTTAAATTACAAATATTTACGTTCCATGAGGCTGTGGATGCTTTGTTGTGCTCTAGACAGTTGTCAGCAAAGTTGACAAAGTCAGGATAGTGAGAGGGGAAGTTTTTACTCTGTTAACCTGTGTATTCTGTTGTCAGAATTTCTGCAGTCCTTTTCTGATTTCCACGGCAGAATGTAACGGCATCAAGGTGCTCTGGGGCTGCAATGGCATCTGAAGAGCCCCTTCAAAGTTAGTGCTCCTTGTTTTCTCTTAATTTAGCTGTGTGAAGAAAACCATGGAAAATACACATGTTGAACTGGATTGCACAGAGTAGGAAGCAGGCTGTAGAGACCCTTCTCAAAAAGATAAGCCATTTGCCAAAACATGCGTCACCTCATGCTGACTAATAATCTATACAGTCAGTCCTGGGGGGAAAGTGAGAAATGGACAAGACAGTGCAAGGGACACTGGGAAAATGCATTTATATTATTCTCTGTGGACTGCCAGCTCTAATAATAAAATAACAAAAAGCAGCTACAGAAGTTTCTACAGATACTTGTTAGAAACATCCTTTGCTTTGGAGAAGTTTGCATTTTAGATGCCAGTGTTGATAGGTGGTGAGAGGTGCACGTTTCTGCCCTGGTGCTAAGCTCAGTTTGGGTGGTCATGCAGCATCAGCACTTTGGGTGAAGACTCGTGGTACTTTAGTAGAAGAGAGATATGCTGAAGATATTAATTATATGTTTCCATATACTAAGGCATACAATACATAATTACATATATACATTATACATCTTTAATGATATGTTGTATCATTATATTGTTACGTATGTTTGGATGTAATCCAAGAAAAGTGTGGAGTCTACATGTGTAAGCTTTTGTGAGAAAGCAAATATTGATACTGCTGAAATAATTAGTTATTTTATTTGCCTACCTACCAGAAACTCAATGCAGGCAGTCTAATTTTCTGAGGCAGGTGTCATACATTATAATATTAGCTTTGGGTCTATTAGAGCATCCTCATATGAATGACGACTAGTTCAAGATTTTAAGTTGGTGCAGTCTATGAGTACCCCCAGTTTTACAGCTATATTCTGTCTGTTTCAGGTTTCACAGGATTTCATTAGTTATTGTCAAGGCTGAGATTTTCACAGTTCAGTGCATTAAATCTTGTTTTCTTTTTTTTTTTTTTTTTGGCTCCATGTCAGATTAAACTTACTTGTAGGTGGCTGCAAGGTTTTTTCCATTCATAAACCCACATTATTCTCATTGCTGCTTTCTTTCCAATGGTATCAGAGGTTGACAGCATTGATCTTTTTCCAATCTTGGCAACAGGCTGTTGCTGTGGTAGAGGCCATTGTTCACTAATGGAGACTTGCTTTCATAAAGTAATCTAGAATTTGTGCATTTGCTTTGCTGTGCTTTGAGCTTATATTTTTCAATTAATTACAGTTTCTTAAGCAATGTAGGAGACCTGTTTGTAATTGAGTCTAGGTCATTAAAATAGTGGAAAGGAAACAAGTATATAAATGTACTTGTGTGTTCCCTTTTTATTATCTGTGGCTTTCAAGCTTGGCTTCCTGCTCCTGATAATAATTTTTCCTGTTTCATGTTTACCTGGCAGGTAAACACAGTTTTAGCTGGTGAATTATATGGTGTCAAAATTGAGAGGAATTAGCTCTTTGATTTCTTTAATAAGAGACCTATTGTTGCATTTATTTTTTCCACAACTTTTCCTGTGATATTGTTGTAACATAAATGTTTGACACCAGATGCTATCCCAAACTTTCTCAGAGTTAGGGGAGTTTGTGCCTAGGTAGTTTCCCAGGCTGTATGGCAGGCCCCTTGTTTCCCAGTGGACTCTGCAGTGGCACACCTTACCCTTCAGATGTTTGGGAGCTGAGTGCTGGAAGTATTTCGGTGTGCCCTGCCCTCTGACATTCACCTTTAGCTCCCCAGCACTTGAGCCCTGGCAGGAGGCAGGGTGACACAAATAGCTACGGATGGCACAGCAGTGCACGTACATGCAGATAAACCCAGTGGAGAGAGGAAGGAACAGGATTTCCTAAAACTCATAGAACAAATGTGCACATTTTAGAGGAGGGTCATTTTCGTGGATATCACACAAAGTTAAAGTTGCATTTGGTCCCACCCCCAAACACTTAGATACTGCAGACTTACTCCTCTGACAACACTAAGGAATACTTTATTTCTTTGGCAGTGCGTCTGTCATCTTCTGGACCTTAATGTCCACTTTAATGCCTGGCTCAGGGAGTATTTAATGCTCTTTCTGCTGCCTCAGCACAGTGTGCAGGCTGTGAGGTACCTGCAGTCACCCAGCAGGTGTGACAGCAATTACTGTGACACAAACCACTGAAGGAGTTAAATGCAGAGAGCTCATTGTTCTGGTTTACATGACAGCAGAGAGCACCTGGTGGGTGTCCATCAATATCCTGGCTGAATTTGGAGTAAAAACCTGGAAATACATAATTCAGGCAATAACAATGATGTTGATGACGATGATGATGTAGGTGCTTGTGACAGCAATTACTGTGACACAAACCACTGAAGGAGTTAAATGCAGAGAGCTCATTGTTCTGGTTTACATGACAGCAGAGAGCACCTGGTGGGTGTCCATCAATATCCTGGCTGAATTTGGAGTAAAAACCTGGAAATATATAATTCAGGCAGTAACAATGATGTTGATGATGATGATGATGTAGGTGCTACGCTCATATATTGCAGTGCCTCCAGCAGCATCTCTACTATGTTTTTACTGTGATTTTTTCAATATCAGGCATGATTTTAATCAATACAGTTATAATCAATAAATTATATTAATCACATCTAGTGTCAGTTCAGAAGCTGTGATATAGCAGTTGTTAGCAAAGAAACTTCAAATGTTTATGCTTTGTATTTACAGTTGGAGATCAGGTTCTTTATTATAGTTGTGCGATATAGCAGTTGTTAGCAAAGAAACTTCAAATGTTTATGCTTTGTATTTGGAGATCAGATTCTTTATTATAGTTGTGTTATTCCTGAAGAGTCAACACAGGATGTTTTTAGCACTTCATAGAGACTGTCAGACACCTTCCAGGTTTCTGGCTGTGCTGGCTGATCTGTAAATGTAGCTGGAGGTGGTACAGAGCAGCCTTTGAAAGTAGAGCTGCTGGTGCACCAGAGACACAGCTCCTGTGCAAAATGTCCAATAGCTCCTGGATTCTTTCTTTGCTTTTGAGGCAGCGTTCACATTTTCATCTTTGTTCTCACCCCAGCTTAGTTCAGTTTGCCTTGCAGATCAACTCCCTGCTTGCTCTGGGTAATGTGCCAAGTGCTCAGCCCAAGATTAAGTTACAGCCAGAGCTGCTGGACATGAAGGTACTGTAACTGTAGATGTCTGTGCTTATGTTTCAGCCCTGCTGCAACTGAATTCAGAAATCTTAATGGGAAACCCCAGTGGCAGAGTTTAACTTTAAAAAAAGAGCTTTAAGCTTATGTTGCAGATTTATAGTTCTTTTTAGTACATTGAACTTCTAGGGATTTTTTAGTAAATGTTAAGGTAGACAGGGTTAAGCTGACAAATTTTCTCATGCAAAGAGAAATAATTTTCTGAGGCTGCTAGGCCTCAGAAAGTATGATGGGTCAGTTGACAAGTAGTGACTAGCTCAAGAACTATCCCAGTTCTTAAAAGTATGTGAACATAATCTGAACTGTTAACATATGTCAAATTGCTTCAGTTGTTGTTAGAGTTGACTGCAAATATTAGGAAGCACAAACTGCAGAAAAATTAAACAAGTTTTCCTTCTTGTTCTTTCCTCCAGATTTAGAACGTGCTGTCAGAAACTTGAAGTGTTAAGTATTTTAAAGGTGGTGTTTGCTTTCTCTGTTGTATTTTAAATCTGTTTTTACAGTTCTTTTGACCTACATATCTAACCAGACACTTCGCAGTAGGGATTGAACTTCTTCATTCTAACATCTGATACTAAATTTTTGACTCTTCAGAGTTACCATCCAGAGCAGATTTTTCTAACCTTGTTAATTTCTTAATATTTTAAAGGTTCGAAGCATATTCTTAACATTTCAAGCAGTTCTATTTTCTGAAGTTGGTATTTTAGAATATTGATGTTGTCTATTGTAGAAAACAGAGCTTGACACAAGCAGTAGTGTTTTATCTCCAGAAAAGATTGTTAGGGCCCAGTGATGTACAAGTCCAGAGCTCCAGCCTCCTGCTCTACACAAAGGTAAAAAAAATCAATATGACAGTTTGGTTGAAAATATTAGTGGATATAAATAAATGAGATATTTTTTAACGATCCCATGAGATGTTGACGATGTGATGATTCTCTGAAGCAAATACACTAAACTATGTTAATATTCATACTAACACAACTGTTTTGCTTTCTTTTGGTGCAGATCACCAGAAACTGGAGAGAGAAGCTAGAATCTGTCGCCTCCTGAAGCATCCTAATATCGGTAGGAACATTTCATTGCTTTGTACAGTATTTATCAGTTTAGAAAATTTAGGGGAAATGGAAATTAGCAAATACAAAGAGCAGCTCAGAAGTCAAGTGCAAATATTGGCAAGACTCTTTATAATGTGGTGTTCCTTACAAATTCTGCTGTGGGATGCAATAATCTGATGGATCACCTGCAGCCGTGTGCAGTGTTCTCATCTTTGAGCCATTGCTCTGCCACCAATGAGCTCTCTGTGCCAGGTCTTTGGGGGGATTTGAGCAGTGTGCAGGAGGGCCTATTTCCAGGATTGTTCATGATTTTTGGAGACCTGCAGAAGAATTTCAGCTGACAGTGTCTGTTGCACAATGAGACAAACCAATGTCAATACTTAGTGCTGGTTTTAGTGAGATGCTTATTTTATACTGTATTTTGTGTTTGAGATTCCATCCTTGCAAGCTGAAGAAAGCTCTGCTCTTTTTATTTCCAGAGCTGTGTGTTCTAACCATGTAAAGCAAAAAATAAAGTTATTTGGGAGGGTGGGGTGTGTTTGTCTCTTTGCTTTAGAAACAGTGTAGACAGGTAAGTACCTTTATCTAAAGAGAATTGCAGCTGGGTTTTCCAGTTTTTCATACACTGAATCATATTCCAAGGGTATCTCTCACAAGAATATTTGCTGTACCTGAGACTTCTGCAGAATGGTGGGAATTTCCTGTTTGTCATGTTTAGACTAATAAAATTGTTTGGTGCCTGTGATGCCTTAAGTTTTAGTTTTCATATTTTTCAGATTCTGGACTGCGTTGTTGGGTAACTCTGAACTTGGTGTAAAGTTGAGCAAGTTCTCTTCACAGGGTAGTCAGACAAAACAATCCTTTTCCAGCCCAAAAACAAGGACACCATTGTAGTTTCAGGCCCAAAGAAGTATAAGCAATGGAGAGCTGAGGAGAGCAATCTGGAAGGATGGGAATTCATAATATGAAACTGTAATTGGATCATTAACCCCAATATGTAAATGGACCATAACTTATAAAAGTGTGAAAAATAATGACCCGTCATCCATCTTGTGTCCATTTTGGGTCCATCTTGGGCAGAGCCACAGCCAGGCTCTTGTACTGCCCAAGGTGTATCCTTTGAAGGGCTTTGAATAAATACCTACTTTATTCCTTTAACTGTCTAACCTCTGTTCCAGGTAGCCTCTTTAGTCATCACCTGGGATGTAATCAGCTCCTTCCTTTTAATGATAATTAGAAAGTGAAAACAAGTGTACCACAGCTCAAAATGGCATGTCAAATGTCTGCAGCATCCCTCTTAAGCTTACAGGTTTGACCTAGATATTTGGTTAAGGAGGAAGAGGGATGTTATGTGTACTATTATATCTCACCAAAGGTTTTGCATTGTAAAATGGTGAGAGATAAACGAATGTGCAGGTGCTTTTAGGGAGGTGGTGCAGCCCTTCTGCAGCTGTGGTTACAGATATGGTGTAGTCAGACTCCAGAGCCATTCACTTGGGCCTTACTGGAAGCAGAACATATTTATGAGCTTCTACAAGTTGGGGAGAATGAACAAAAGACAAGAGTGAGCTGATGCAGGGAAAGGGCTAAAATGCACAGAACTCAGTTGAAACAAGAGTCTAAATGGCTTCCATGTGGTCACAAGTGTTCAGCTTGTCAAGTGGCTTGTTGAGCAGTGGAGGATGGAGTTCAGCTCCTCTGTGGCAGGCCAGCTGTTCCACACGCACAGTTTGTATCTGTGAGGTTTGGCTTGGAGTGCAAAGAGGCAATGACAGCTTTAGTGACAGGCAGGCAAGTCTGCACAAGCTCTGCATCACTACCTGCACCAAGGTGCACAGTTCAAGGGGAAATGGGCAAAGTCTTCTGCTCTTGTTTCAGAAAAGCTGACATGTTCTAGATCTGTCTGAGAGAAGATTTTCATGACCTGGAATTACCATGCTAGGGTTTAGCAGCAGATGATGTATTCTGTCATGTTCCTTCTCCTGCAGCCATGCCCTCAGCCAGCTAAATGGTGACCCTAAAATCATTCCAAGTGCTGCCAGCACCCCACTGGAGCTCTTTTGCTTGGGTCACCATGACATCCCCTTTTAAACTGTCATCTCTGGTGAGTAATGGAGCTGCATCACATCAGGAAGCACTAAGAGTGAAAAGGGAAGTGTGCCAGAGGAGGGGAGCTCAGCTCTGACAGTAAGTGTATGTAAGTTAAGAAAAATAAGGAAAAAAAGGTAACTTTTTTTTTCAGAGCGATTTCTGTAGGAAAGCAGAGGTCTAGTTTAATTGATGGGATGGTTTCTCAAAGGTGACAGTGTACAGGGAGTTATTTTTGGAAAGCTAAATAAGGCTGAATGTTAAATGATTCTGTTTCTGTGCAGTCCTTACTGTCCATGGTCATAGCCAATAAGTGTCATGGAAATCTTCCTTGAAGAAGTTGTTTCACTTCTACAAGCAGGGCTCCAGTACATTTGTGAAATCTGACCTTTTCTGTGCAGACACTGCTTTGCACATAACTAATCCAGTTCATTTTCCAGCATCTTTTTTATTTGTCCTTTTAATAAATCTATGTTTTCTTCTCTGTCCAGCCTTGTAGTTATGATGCCTAATGAATAGTATAGAAAAAATAAGGAAATTGGACTACAAACAGTATTTTCTGTTCTCTTTTTCTCATCTCCATTTCCCACTTAAGTAAGGTATATGTGAAAGTTTGTTTAAAACCCACAGAATTTCCTCATCCTTTGCACTTACATCTGCTTCTCACCAATACTCATTGTGATTTCAACCTCTTCTTACCTCAGTCCTTTGCGTCACTGTAGTGTAAAGCAAGCCCTGCTGAATTTTGTGTGGGAATTAAAATGAGGCACAAGTCTCATTAGCTGAACTTGCAGGCCCTGAGAAGAAACTTTGAAGTGGTTCAGAATCTTTTTTTTCCATCAGTCTTTGGTATGTTCTCCTCTTCTAGCTGTGCTTGAATAATCTGGGCTGTGCTACACTGCAGTAGGAGATTTCTAGGCAAACACAGCTTGTGTTCCTGTGGTAACAGAGCTCCTGGGCTGCAGGAGTTTGTGCATTAGTGTGATTTTCAGCATTGCTGTGTTTCTCAGGTTCTTACTCTGGTTATGTGGCTGTACATCAGTGTGTAAAGGGTTGATTTTGCAGAGTTTAAAATGGATGGAAATGTAGGTTAAGCCTTGCTGTTTGGAGAACCTAGTGCTTTATCTTTGTGAGATTGCACATCAAGTTACAATGAAAACTTACTTCCTTTGCTGAGCATGTACCTGCACAGGATTTGTTATCTTGGGTAACTATTACTTTTCCAGCAGTTCCATGTGTACTAATGTTCCCATTTTTTAAATTTAGAAGCTTGGGAAGAAAATTGCTATTTAATAATCTCTTCACCAAGAAATCCATTGTCATTTTCCTGATTTTTCTCCTTTATCTTTTTCTGGTAAACTTTGATTTCTTGGTCCTCTTTTAACATTAGGTAAACGTAATTTTTAGCACTCTGATTTCTAGTTTTGCAATCTACGTATTTTCAGTGGTGTGACACTGTTGCACCATCTTATTATGACGTCTGGCATGGATTTACAGCTGCCTTGCTAATTTTGGTTTATGACATCCAAATAACGATAAAATCTGCATTAGTCTGACAATACAAGCCTCGACCCATTCTGGAAAACTGATTAAAAACCATGGAATTTTTTTTCCCAAGTGGAGTTTACTCTTGCAGGATTTGTGCTGGGCTTGGGTAATGTTTTCCTATTGGGAGTGATGCAGTCAAGATCTCTCTGTAAGTATTGGAGGGGCTTCTGCTGGCTTTACATTCCCACTTCCTTACAGCCCATAATTCCCTGCCTCTGCCACCTCCTCCCAGGCCTTACAGTGTACAGGCTATGGCAGGCAGGCAGGGTCCATTAGCCAGCAACATCAGGCTCAAGTCTGACTCTGATCAATCTTCATCCCTTCGCCAAAGGCAGCAGCAGATTTTACTGACATGTGGCAGCCCTTCAGGTGATAAATGAAGTTCTTTTGGCACAAGGCCAGGCTGTCCCTGAAAGGCTCTGTAAGTCAGGGTACTTGGAGGTAAGTAGGACTGCCAGGCACAGACTCAGCTCCACTAGGCTGAGCCTGTCCCTGTGCCTCTGCTGGTCCGGCCTCAGCCAGGCTGGGGCTGAGGCACGGCCACGAGCGTGCGGTGACAGCAGCAAGGCCTCTGCTCCAGCAACAACTTCCCAAGGCAGGCTGGCCTTGCAGCAGGCCAGCAGGCAGCCTAGATGTGGAACAGACTTGGGACACGGGGAAAAAGACACATCCCTTATCTGGCTTCATGAGTGTGCTGGTGTCCATTTGGAGTCTGCTCATTTCCATGCTTTGAGCTGGGAACTCCTCATCAATGGCTGAGGCAATTGGGAGCACCCAAACTTGGCACTGCTCCTCACCACACTCTTTTGCCACAAGAAAAGGAGGAAAAGCCACATTTTGGAGTTACTTCCTCTTCCCACCATAACACAAAACACAAGCACTGAAGTTAAGTTCCTCATGCGGGGAAAAATAAGAAACTGTGTATTGCCTTGTCCTTTTTGAACAGAGGGTAATTAAAACTGGGGGGTGTCCTTTGTGCACAACAATATGTCCTTTATGTTTATATTCACCAAGTACGTGCATGACACTCCATAAAGCCCCAAGAATCTCAAGAGAAACACTATTAATATATAGAAAACGTGGATGCAGTAACTCCTTTCTGAATTTCATTTGTCTTACTGTGGCACAGTTGTAGTGTGAGTAGCTCAGCTGCTGTTAGTTAAGTTATTCTATAAACCAAACACAGGGTAAAAATCAGGCCTGTTCAGGTTCAGTGGATGTAGTTCTTTAGCACAATTTTTTTTCTGAGCTTAATTTAAGGTTTTACTTTATGTCAAAAATATATAGTTCTTTCCTGATGCAGTGAAAATCAAACCAATCCTCAGCTATATAAATTTATGCTCAGTAAATACGGTCCTCAGGGATGTATTAACT